CCATACTTGATTGAAGTTACAAAATTGTGTAGAAGAATGTTAACAACAATAAAAACACATCACTATTGAACTTCTGATGTGAGCCAAGCATTTACTAGCAGCTTATGAATGTTACTATATTAAATACTAGAGAACATATGCTGCAAAACCATAGTGACGATAAAAGTAAAATATTTTATTGATATGCATAGGAGACATACCCTTTCCTGGATAGAGATGAAAGAAGAAAGAAATGGGGAAATGTGGTGGGGATGAAGGGCTGGAAGGAGAGGATGGTGGAGGGAGTCTGCAGCAGGGATATAAAATAAATAGATGATCAAAAACAAAAATCAGGGACAAAAAAAATAAAACACTCTGACCAGGACTAACATTGGTCCTCATCCTTTACCCATGCTTTTTCATTTTTTCTCAAGTATATGAGTAAACTGAATAGAATACAAAGAAAAATACTTTTCCAGCATAACTGAAGTTCAAGAAATGTATTTTAGACTGTCTGGCATGATAGGTATCAACTTTCCTACTTACTGACTGACACAAAGAAGAGATAATTCTCTACAGACATTGCAGGTGACTTCATTTTCAAATATATAATGTGTATCAGTCAAAAGAAATGAAAAGAAAATGATTATTGTTTTTCATTTTAAATTGAAGAATAAATATACTACTAATTTTCATGCAATTAGTTGTGTAAAGGACACTGTAACATTATAATTAGAGTATAGTTGTGTTATCAGTTATCACATGAATCTGATGTGAGAAGCATTCTTTTTGAAGGATAATTATACTCATAAATAGCCCAATTCTAAATAATGGAAAATATTTTCATATTTCTCGGATTTCAAAATAATGTTTTTGTCATAAAAGTATGTTCAATGTATTTATTAGGACTTTATTAAGACTAGATCTCCATGACTTGAGTTGGCAAATGCCTAATGTTTTTATGTTGTCAAGCACATTTTGGCTAGTGTATTCACTCTTGTATGAAACTGTCAGGTAAATTTGCTTAATCAAAACTATTGTGGAAATAATTTCATAAGCTAAGAAAATATCAATAGTAAGCAACCATTTAAAACTTGTAGTGATTATTTACTATCTAATAATATCTTAGTTTTTCAAATTATAATTACATCAGTTATTTGACATACTGATATGTATGTATTACTAACAATTCACATAAAGGCAAGTTATTTTAAATAGCTATGATACAAAACAATTTAAATTTTAAACTTTTGTATTTTAAGAAATGATTTAATTTGCTCTATTATAAAATAAGTTTGAAAGTATAGTGACAGACTTAAATGCTACTTGTTTTTTTTAGTTCAATCAAAAGTGCATGTTTTCTATTTTCTTGTTTATCAATTAATAAAGTTTATATATCTAGCACTCTAGCTATTATGTCCATTTCAAAACCAGTTCTTTCATCAATTCTTCATCTTGCACGATATTACCTATAATACCCACCAATTGCTGAAATTTCTTAATCTTTTGCAGTATGGTTTAGCAATACACATCTATCAATGAGTATCTATTGCTATATTCCTTATAAATTTTCTGATAATACTTCCCAAACTTTTTTTTTACTATTTCTGATATGCTTCCTAAAAATTTAATATTCTTTGTAAACTATCCTTATTTTACTTTTCAATATTTGCTTTCATTTGCAAACTACTCATAACTTGAAAACTCAAAATTGACTTCCAAGCTTCCAAATTCAGCATACTCCTAATCATCTGTTAGATTATTAGATTTCTTTTTTGCATTAGCTTTATCCTTTAGATCATTGTTCCTTGAGTTCAGTTTATCTGAATTAAACTGATGTCCTTCCCAACCCTAAGAAATCTGATGTTTCTTCTTTGTCACCTTCTATCTCACTTCTTGGGTGCTGAAATGATGGGTTCCTTGATGACTTCTTTAGGAATGATGTTAAATCTGATCTGACACTTCTGCAATGCAAAGCAGAGTTCTTCATCATGATTTTAATATAACTTCTATGGCCCAGGTGCTGTTTTCCCTTTCTTATCAGCCCTACAGCCTTTAGATTCACCTCTCTTCTTACTCAACAAACAATACATCAGTCTTCTTAGAGCTTGCAATGGCTAAACAGCTTTTTCATGGTGCTAGAATTTTCTTAAAATCTCTTTGCAATTAACTTCATTGACATTAAATCCTTTTCTGCTGAGTATTTATTTGATCATGAGCTAATATATATATATATATATACACACACACACACACACACTCACACACACACACACACACACACACACTCTCTCTCTCTCTCTCTCTCTTCCTTCTGTGCATCACTTTCTCCTTGGGAAAAAAAAAAGCCAAGATCAAAAGCTAATAGAAATTCCTCATCGATCCATACTCTCAACTGTTTCATCAAAAGCTCTTCTCTCGTTATATAATGTTCATGAGTATGGTATGCTATGTATTAGTTATTGTGTTTTTATGGTACTGTTAATTTTAAATTGGTTAAGGGTAAAAACAGAAATATCATATTCATCCTCTACTAAAGTGAGGGCCAACTGCAAATCTTTAATAATTCTCTTGTGAGTAGACCTAAATCTGTTATATGACACATATAATATATTGTAAATCATGTGTTATAATAAATCTGACATATTCTTCATGGATCACAATTCTTTACTACACGAATATACTGTCTTTAATGATGTATGCATTTATACATATTTATGTAAATAAAATACTTAATGGCTGAGTAGATATTTAGATATTACCTTTTATAATCATTGTACTAGGTACTGTCTTACTTCACCACAATGGACAGCATGTTATTGACAGTTAAATATCCTTCCCCAGGCCTTTGTCAGTGAAAATTCCACTTAAATGAAGTCATTTTTCATGACATTTCCTGTAAACAGTAGAAGAGCAAGTTCCCTCTCTATTCTCCTCTCCCAGTTCCTTTCCTACCCCTTTTCTCTCTCTCTCTCTCTTTTTTTTTTTTCTCATTTAAATCAAATGTATTTGCTTGCTTCTCATCAAATGATAGACAAAAGATTCTATCACCTCTGCATTTTCAGTTACAATGCATTCTGTCCCTTTGCATATGTCCTACTTCCTCTGAGAACTATTCTCAACTCATTTCAGATCTGGTAACATCTCCCCTGAATGAGGAAAAAAAAATGAAAATAAAGTAATTGTTAATTTGCTCAGCAGGTTAAATTATTCATTATTTCCCATCAAAGAGGGAATCACTGTGAGAAACATAGTACCCACATCCTCATTAGATCACCTTCTGCTTACACAAAACTTGACAATGCATGAGTTAGTTTCTGATAACCCACTTGACTTCACCATACCTTGTATGGATGTACAGTCAACATCAAGTGCTATCAACATGAAGGCAGCTAAGAAAGTAGAGGTCAAAAGTCAAGCAAACTCTTCTTAGAACATGCTAGAGCTGAACAGGGCACTGGTATCAAGGTCTCCATCCCCTTGATCCCTAGTGCTTTCTTCTATTTTAAACTGTTAATTGGCTTGTGTTACTGCCTTTGCATTAATGTTTACATATATTGGTACCCAAGAGGCAGCTCAGTGAATGCTGAATACATTCTTTTTCATCTAAATTACTACTTGGCTCATGTTCCTTTGATAGTACAAATTTCAATTAGCCCACTGTTTGCCTGAGAAGCTCTTTCTCAGCTTCCAAATACTACCAATTATTACCAGTTTAGAAAAAAACTTTTCAATTTTTTTGTTTAGCCCTAAAGGAACTTATTTGATTTTAAACCGCATTCACCAACCAGTTTGTCTTCAAAGTGTTAGGAAGAAAGAGTTTGCTTTGCCTAATCTGTGTCTATATTTGTACACGTGCAAGCACGCATGTTCATTTCATGCAGTGTTCTGAGTCAAAGTGTGTTCTGTCTTTAAGTGAATTTCTGTTTAATTCCCTCACTAAGTTGCTTGGGTATGTGGACCTTTTTTAAACCATCAGCTGTCCGTGTGTTTGGAGTAAATAGAGCTGTCTCTTCAACTGGGGATAGGAAGGCTGAAGCCAGAAAGGAGACCTGATCTCTACTTTGTAATTGAGGCTCTTTTGCTTTTATCTAGTCCCTCTCAATATTTAGGCATCGCCCGGAACTCTCCAGTCATCCCCAGGTCTCTGTAATGAGAATACCTCCTCCACTCCTTCCCTATGAGTGTATGAAGTCTGAGGCAGCTCGGGAAATCCATGTCTGATCGCGGATAGAGAGTATCCACCCACCAAGCTGAGAGGGGAGCCTTGGGAAGGTCGCGTTTTGTTGTTTCCCTGTGGGTTCTTGCCTCTACAGCGCTTTGTGGGGATAGTCTTAGGAGAAGAGAGTTGCTGCCTTTCTGGCTTGGTCGAAAAACAAAGCGAAAAGACTTCTTTCTCGGAAGGAAAAGTTTCAAAATCCACACGATTAATCATTCCACACTAAATATCACTTTAACTCACTCATAACAAATTGCACTGTCCAGCCTTCCCTGGGGTTCTCGAAGAGTCTCTTTTGCCTCTTAATTGTTAGATCTGTCCTCATAGAGCTTGTCCCCGACTGTCCCCCACATCATAAATCTAAGCTCAAAAATTTAGCTCTATCTCCTCATATATAACAGCAGTAAGCATAGTGTTTACCGAAACACAGCGTAAACATGGGCGAAACTGTTAACTTATTTCTTGCTAGACTGTCTTTTTGGAAAGTCTTAGACTGGAAATCCAGAGAAGAAAAACACTTCACTTTGTAATGAAAGTATAACGCTGCCCTCATTCACTGCCGAGCAGCGAGCTGTGAGAGAAACAATCACCCCAGTGACTCACTGTTGCCTCTTAGTTATGTTGTTCTTTCCTGATAGCTTAGGACGTGACCTAATTCACTTGCAGGAATCATACTTTTGACCTGAGTATCTCTGCATAATCAGGGACAGCTGGAAGCACAGGGGTCCCTTCGGGCGCCCCCAGCTCCCGACCATGGTCCCCGATTTGGAGATGAAGGAAAGGGCAACTCTGTCCCACTTACCGGTCTTCCACAGATAGAGGGTGGGCACCTCGGTGTCTCCCTGAGCAGCAGCCCGGCAGGCGCCAGAGCTCAGCAGGAGCAGCAAGAGCAGCGGCAGCCACAGCAGCTGCAGGACGCCCCGGCTCGGGGACGCCAGGCGCCCGGCTCGCAGCAGCCCCATGCTGTCCGCAGCCGCTCCAGCCTCCGGAGCCTCAGTACTCTCGCGGGGGACCGTCCTTCCTTCACCACGAGAAGAGAATGCAAAGCTCTCTCAGCTGCTATTGTTCGCTCCAGATGAAAAGCAGCCAAAGAGAAACTAACACTAGGGAACAATAGCATCCGCGGCGGCCGTGGACGCCACTGCCGCCGCCGCTGGCGGGGATGCTGGCGGGGATGCTGCCTCCGCTGCCATGGCGCGCAGACTGGCAGGTCCTAGCGGCTAGGGACACAGCCGGCCGCAGGGGGCCCCAGCTGACAGAGCCAGCCCAGAGCTCTGCGAGGAGCAGCCCCCGCTGCCAGCTGTAGGGAGGGGAGGGGGGCGAGAGAATAGAGGAACCGAGGGGATCCAAGGGGACCACGGGCGGAGGGCAGCGAGGGCACAGGGCCAGCACCAAGACCCCAAGCATCCGCGCGGAGAACTCCCTGGCACATGGTGCGGTGAAATATGTTCGCAAGGATACACCAATAAAAAGAATCATCTCGGGGCAGGCTTCGGGATGACGAATAACTGACATTGAAATTCATCGTCACCCAAGGAGTCAAATGCTGATCTAGAGGCGTGTTATTCTCCCTGCATATTTATACAAAGCATCAGTGTTGGTCATTTGTTCTGAAGCCCTGGCTTCTGAATTACTTTATATGAGGAGCGGTATTTATGAATCTATAAGGTAACAGAACAAAACTCACTGTCCAAAAGCAGTTGAGCACTTTCTTAAGTGTTATTATTATTTTTTTTTTTAACTTCAGTCCATTCTCAGTAACAATGTGACCATGGTTAGTCTGTGTCAAATTCAACACTTGTCCTGTAATCGCCTTTGAAAGTGAATTTGTACAAAAGTGCACGATGCTGTCCAATTGTATGAATAAGACTGTGCAAACATTGCTAGCTGAATTCTATTTCAAGGGTGAAGTGAATAAAAGTTCCATCTTTCCTCTCTCTGTTGGTAACATACTAGTAAGTATCAGAGGTGGGGAGAAAAATTAAAGTGTGAATGTGTCAGTAACAGTAGCTGGCTACCCCCAGTTAAAAAATATTTTTACTTAGATTTTATTCCTGAGACTAATACTTCCTGATTTTTATTTATTTTTTTATTTATTTATTTTAGAAATTCTTTTCACAACCAGAATAAGGAACCACATGTCTTGTACCTTTTGTTCTCTTGTTTTCATTTTCTTGGATCAGTACTAACAGAAGAATGTGTCCAGTCAGATAAAACAGCTCTGTCTTTCTCCCCCGACCCCACAAATTCACACTAACAGTCTTTTATTACTAATTCATTTCCTTGTAAAGTTTAAATAATACCAAGGCAGTTAGCCATTTACAACAAAGCAAAACAATAACAACAAAAATCCATCAGCATCAAAAGCTGAGGATAACTGTTGTCATTTGGTTCTTACACCAAGTACAAAAACATTTGAGAAGCAGAAAACTTCTTTTGGTGACTATCCACAAGGATCAGCCACCCAGGAGTCTGAAAGGATAAAGCTACTGTTTCTCAGGGAGGAAACCTTCCATAGGACTCCCTGGGGATGCTTGTCATTTTGCTGAGCTTTCCAGACACAGCCCTTCTGCATGCATTAGATTAAAAGCAGGTTTGATCAAATAATTCCCAGGTCCTGCCTGTTTAAGTATTCTGACATCAGAGGAAATTAGCTGCTTTCAGGGTTGCAAATTTGGTCTTTGTTTACTTTTCACTCTGTTAGGCCTCTAAGAGGGAATTAAAAGCTCAGAGAGCCCTGGCCTGAGTCAGTGATTAGAGGCGATAAGCCACTATGGCTTACTATTTCTACACTGGTGAAAAATAGGCAATGATCAAAAGATTATAGGTTGATAGGGATACAAAGGAAGCCTGATCCTAACTAATGTATGCTTCCCTGAAGGAACAAGTCCTTCAATGTTCGCACTGTCAAAGAAGAAAAAGATCTGTCCTTGCCTCCTGGGTTGCGCCCTCTCAGAAATTGTTCCTTCCTGCAATGCCACTCTTCAAGGAATCGTCTTCCTATAGCTTCTGGTTGTATTTCTCAGTGCTCAGCCCTGAAGTTCTGTAAGCTCACACTGCAGATGCTGTGTTATTAGTGTCCATTCATAGCATTTTTCATAAGCTCCAAGTCAGTTCACCAGGTGGAGGCTCTTTATACAACAGAAGACAGGCGGCTGGAGACAAATCAGAGTAGTTAATGGGCAAGCTGACCACCTGACCTCTCAAGGCCATCAGATGTCACACTCCATAGCTTAAAGTCAAACAAACATTTAAGATGGGATTTTTTTATTTATCCAGGATTGTAGAATAATTACTAATTCATGCAAGATATTAAATATAATAGCGATAATGTCAAGGCTAATTTCTAAATCAGAATCTGTTATCATTTAAAATCCACAACCAAGGTAACTTGTTGTGCAGAAGTGTTTGAAATTTGCCATCAGTAGGTTCCTCTCTTTTAACTGAAACTTAAACCAAACTTAGGGAACACCTCCACCCCCCCCCCCACCCAAGACACACTGCAAATGTTCCCTAGTAGTAGAAACATCTCCAAAGAATGTTATAGAAACTGGTAAAAAAAAAAAAATACTGTTCACATGGATAAACTTTATCAATAAACCAGATTGATGTCAAGAGATAGCTAGAAATACCTAACTTTATTTTCTGGAAAGATATAAATAGTACACAAATGTTTAATGATACCATGTGACAATACAGTTCAGAGACATCTCAAGGATGCAGATTAAATTGTAAAGCCTGCCATGAAGTAAAGCAGCCATTATTTTTCATGAGCTGTTCAAGTATTAATGAACCAAGACTTAAAAAGTTTTCCAAACCAACATTTTTCATACTTGGAAATGGCACAATTCTGACCCTATCCATTATATATATGTATGGTATCCTTAATTGCCCTTTGTTATCCTTGATCTCATTTAGGAATTCCATTGTTTAAAGTTATTCACATTCACATGGTGTGTGTGTGTGTGTGTGTGTGTGTGTGTGTGTGTGTGTATGTGTAGGCAATATGTAAGGCAATTATAATCATTGTTTGATGGAAAATGAAGCTATTTTAATATAACTTTATGAATTTAATTAAGTGATACAATATAGACAAAACTATTTATTGACAGAATAGTATCAGAGGAGTATTTAAAATGCTTATTTTAAATAAAAATCTTAACTATATTTCTCCACATAGTCACTGCTTAAATCCAGTAACAACAAACAAAACTCAAAGGAATTCTATTTATGCATCCTCTAGGTGTCATACTTAACCAAGATTTGTATTCAACAAAATTTATTTTATACTCTTTCCCATCAATCCTCTGTACACCCATCAAATTACAAAGTAAAAAAGAAACAGAACATTTCACATTTGATCTCTGTGGTAAGTAACCATATATCTTACCTTCCAGTATTCATCCTCAATTTTCCTTCCAGTTCCTTTTTAGTTACCAACTATGTACTATGTTGGTTGGTTGGTTATTCAACTGGTTTTCTGATTTGGAGTTTTATATAGTGATAAGAGGTAAGATTCTAAATTTAAAAAGTTTGCAGACTAATATTGTCACATATTTTCTATGTTATTAATATTTAAAGTCTTTTGGAAACAAAAGAGATCTGACTCTGTGCATCAGATGAAAGTACTATGTTCTATTTCAGATCCTTCAAACATTGGGGGTAGATTGTTTACAGCTGGTCTTAGACTCAGAGAGTATCCTTTTCCAGGTGGTCCACAAGACATCAACGGTACCTGGCAGAAGACAGGTAATCTACCTGTTAAGTAATCTACCAAGGATAACTAGGGAGAATGTTACTAGAGAGCTGAGCTCTCTGGCTAAATGCAAGGATTTGGATATTTGAGAAATGCAGAACAGCACAGAAAAAGACAACAACACTGACCAGTTCTCAGTAGTGTGCTGATGCCATGATGCCTACAGAAGGGTAATGAAAAAGCCTTGGCCCTTAACAAACAACAAACCTGAAGCTTGTACAACAGAAGTTCTCTTTAGTGGTTGAAATATAAACCTTTATCTCCTTGGTGGTAGAGTAGAAAAACCTGAATATCAGACTGAAAATCTTAAGAACTGATGATAACTTCAAAAATACTGGAAAGATATTCTGGGTCGAGACTATTGTTAAGACCAAGAAAGGACTTATTGAGTAAAACCTGTGCCTTCTGTCTGTTTTTGTCTTTCAGCAGCTGGAGTAGCTTTCTCTGACATGAACTTGCAACACAGTGTACTTCTACCTCATAAAGAGCTCAAAAGCAATGAGAGATAACTCCAAAACTGTGAAGAAAACCAAGCCTTTTCCACGTTGGGTGCATCATCTTAGGTATGTAGTAACAGTAATGGAAAGCTAACATATCCAATTGTCTGAAAATAATTTATTTTTAAGATTATTACTTTTCACACTGAACTGCCTTAGAACCTTTGTTAAATGTCAGATGACCATAAATGGAATGATTTATTTCTATTCCTTGGTGAAAATGCCAACTTTAAGCTTATACCAATTGTCTGTAGGAAGCTATGAAATATATTAAATGCTCTAGTTTTCATCTTTCTCAAAAGTGGCTATTCAAAGTCCTCTGTGTTGTCAAAAGTGTTTTGGGGAGATTTTTCAACTTCTACAAATTGCTGGAAAAGATTTAAATGGATACAGTAATAAATTTCAAGATAAATTTGAATAGTAGTAATGAGTCTACTGATTCATAAACATGGATTGTACCGTCCATTTATTTAGTTTTCCTAAGTTGTTTTCATACATTTCTTGGGTTTTTCAGCATAAGAAAATTGCATATGCTTTGTGAATTTTCCCTTAAGCACTTATTTCTTATTTTTAAAAATATTTTCCTGATTTTGATTTTAGATCTTTTTAATTATTGGATCATAGCAATAAAATTAACTTTTATATATTGATATTGTGTGCTGCAATTTATTTTTTAGTTAATAATTTTTATTTTTTGAGGATTATATACATGGATAAATTTATTTTGACAATATCTATCACCTAGTATCTCTTCCAACTTCCTCTGAAATGGCATTAAATCTCTTTGCTTATTTGTGACTTCTTCAATGTCTTCTGTCATTGATTTACCTGTTTCAGGTGCAGATATATCTACCTTCTTAAACTCATTCCTAAAATTATATTCCCTTTTATATTACTGTGATGTTATTTTTTTTCATTCTTACCTAATTTATTATTGATTAGAGGTGTTGTGTTAA